TTGATAAATATGCACATTCTCAGACAAGCACGACTACTCCCAAAACGAACACAACACTGGATAATGAGATAGAATTGGAGTATGGAATTGTCGTTCCTAATAATAGCTAATTCCCTTCTACTTATTGCTACAAATAAGCTCAACAAATTGAATCTACTGCTTTTTGAACACCCTTCTCAAGACATGCAAGAATATGGCCACACTGGTGGTGCAGTTATTAACTCTCCCAAAACACATTCCAAGATGCTCGAAGTAGTCGGGCAATAGCTGTTTCGTATCCGATCAAAGAGGTTTCCCCCTTTACTGTCCCTTGCGATCTATGTAGCCTTTCAAATATTTGCAATAAATGTTTACTCTACGTAATGCACTGCTGACATTCTACTTAATGGAGTAATTTAATTGTCTTTCGGGTATGTGGCATTTAGATGTGGTAGCTGGTGCACCCACCTCCTTAGAAGTCAAGATGACAAGTATGTACTGCTTCAATTAATTCCAGTTTTTGACTGTCAGAATTGGGATCCCTCACCTACGCAGCGTGCACTGCTAGTTTCGAAAATGCCTTTGTCAGCCGATGACACTGTGAAGTCGACCTCCATGAGGCATCGCCCGTGTTCTCAGGATCGGCAGTAAATTTAGAGCAACACTGACAAGCAAGTTGGCATGCCATGACACTGACAATATTGTAGAGACGGAAGACATGAAGGAAATTGAACCTGTGTGCACAACACAAAGAGGAATCGGTTAGCTGCCTAAAGGAAACAACTCTCATGACGTGTTGCAATAAACGCTCTATTGCAATCGGTTACGGATGTTGAATATGCTCGTGAGTGTGATGTACTGCCTTGCTTCAAGCGCATCACGCATTTGGCCTCACGTCAATATTTCAGTGCTAACTACTCCTCAAGAAGCATACCTTCCCTGCTAGTACACTCATAGAAGCGACAGTAATGAGGGACACGGTTGTGCTGCAAGGAAGAGTGAATTCATGTCTAGCGCTTGAACAGGTAAAATTGTCAAAAGACCATTTTTATCATGACAAATCTGCCTGTGTCGTTTGGAGGCTAAGTGGCGTAAATATGACAGAGGACTTTTAAATAAACTTTTAAGCACATTTATATGTTTTACGAGGAAATGATCCTTAAGGACACTGCTATCCAAGTTATTTGAAGCCAGGAGTGGTCACTAAAACAAAACGAGTACTTGGCGCGCATAGGCGAAATTAGTCTGGGGGCAGTGGGTGTAAATTCGGGCAGAGGCAGCAACCTGCTTGCTAAACCTGGGCAGTAGCCAACATGGGGGTTTGGATGTCGGTGAGAAGGGGAAGGGAATGCTTAGATGTCCCAAAAGCCTGAGTGCTGGTAGCACTACTTTTCTGCAGAGAGTTACACTCAGAAGGCTTCACTTCACCCACTTTGAGGTCATTTTTTAGGAAATAAGATACCTGAGAATAACAAAGGTTAACAAGTCCCCTTTGGCCTAATTGGTCCCTCATGCTACGTACTTGAAACCACATGATTAGACCTCGTTCCTATAAGAAGAGACTTCACTACCTTGTGCATTAACTACCACAGCATGACTGTCCAAGTGGTAACAATCATGTGGGCATCACTACATGGCAGTGACAAGTTCAGTGTTCGCAATGTATCCCCTCACTTAGTTGTCCCCAGCTGAATGGTGCTTTGGCAGCTGGTTTGATGTGACGTGAAACAAGTGGGTGTCAGCCAAGGGGGTAGAGTCCTCGGACAATGCATAGGCTGTGATTCATCAGCTAAAAATCCTATCATTTCACTTTGCGTAAATAATCCGTAGGCTTTCAAATGAAATCACAAAGCTCACAGCTAGACTGGAGCCTATTTTTGGTGTAGCAAAGTATGGGATTGCGAGTTGCGAATTCCAACACTTGTGAGTGATCCTTACTTTCACACATTATTTATGCAAAGAAAAAGGAAAACGCGAGAATGCATGCTCTCCATCACTTAAGTTTCATCCGATATTTGCACCACTTCCTTAAGAAAAGACAAATTCAATGTGAACAAGTGGTAGAACAGACTGATTTGCAATGCTTTGATTGCTTGTTTAACGCCTCACCTGGTTTTGTAGACGCTGAATGCTCCACCTTTGTACTTTCACATGGCGGCATGGCCTCCTGATCATGCCGATACTACCTACCCTAGTCACTCTCTATGCTGACAACACAAATTCGTCATTGTGTTTGGTCTTCTTCTCTTCAGTGTGGTCTTGGGATAGTACAGTTCTTGAGAACTCTTACATATTACAAAATTTATATGGTCACTTGTCAAATGGACACGTGCATGACTGGATGGGCAAAAAGGTCAAATGGACATCTTTTTCGGTGCACAGGCTACAATAAATTAATCGCTTGCAGATTACATTGCATAAATGTGTGTAGGGAAGTAGACCCAGCTACTTCATCAGACTGAAGCCTTTAAACAATCTGGTTGATTGCTTCCATGTACAGCGTCAAGTCCATTTAACACGGTAGGTGAGGTAGGCGTACAATTTCTCTTTCCCATTATCCTTAGCTTCAACACGCTTGCCTCCAGAGCATGCATCTTCATCGCAAACATATATGATACAAGGAAACTTGTGGAGGAAGATGGTTTGAGGAGAGTTCCATGTCATATGCCACCAGTCTGGATGCGGATCTGTTGCAGACAGAGGGGACTTGCGTATTAACATCCTACCATCACCGTGCTCAATGTAAAACCACCAAAATGATGTGAAGACCGATTTATGCAGTGATAAATGCGTGGACGCTCTCAAGTGATATTAATTTGACCTCCCATTTCTTCTCATTAATGCACTTCCCAAGACACATTGATATGTCAATGCTCATGTTACTAGCTTTGTTACACCACTATCGAAGCTGCTTTGTAGCACATTGGAAGTCGTTTGCCTAATAGATGGAAGCCCTGGACTCCGAGTTAGTAGAAGCTATTGCAGCGAAATCGCCCCCTCTTGCTAACTATGCACCTACAGGCTCAACCATGACTGCTCCACCAAAGAATCCAACTCTTGTACCTGACTTGTAAAAAGTCGCTATGAGAGAGGCATTGACAACAGATGCTACTGAGACGGCTATATTCACAGAGGACGCAATTAAAATTGCCCCGTCAAAAGTACCCCTCTTTGACTCGATGTTGAAGTTGATGGACCGGATCAGACTGGCTGGTCTGCGTGATTTTGTGCTTAATTTCCCCAAAATCTTGTTCGATTACGATCCGAAGCAGCTAGAAATCATCAATTCATATCTATCAAACATTACAAGTACGCTTGATGCAGTGAAATATGTGCTTCTTGAAGGTTCTCCTTCGAAGTTGAATGAAGATGAAGGTGTATTCGGTTCAATTTTAGATTTGGTCTTTTAGATAAAAAGAGCATTTTAGCAATTAAATTTTATTCCTTCTCTCCCAAGAAATAACGTCTGCTTGAACTATGCATCTAACTGCCAGCTTGCTTCTGCATAACTCCAGCGCAAAGGGTAGTGGTATTAAAAGGTATCTGCTATGATGCAGATTAGGCCTGCCAAAGTAAATATACTGTACAATATAATAGTAACTTTACTATACTATGCTCCCCGACTTTCTTCGGGAAAGAAATCGTGACTAGCGATAACGGGTCGCAATGATACAGGCAATTCAGATGCAGGTCACAATTGTCCTTACGTTGAACTTCGTCGCACTACTGATATGGAGGCTGCTGCTGTTGTGCACAAAAGGTAAATAATGGGTGGCTAGAAGGAAGTTGGTAAGACCATGAATGGGCGGCCGGCTGAGAAGAGTCAAAGTGGCAACAGAGTGGCGTGATGAGTTTGATCCTTAGTTGTTTGTGCTAAATTGTGGGTTCATGATATCCCTGTCTATGGACAGACGATCCATCGAGAAACCAATGCCATCTGACACATGAGACGCCCTGGAGGTAGGACGTGTAACATTTTTATGCTCATGGTGTCGTCTCCGGGTTTAAAAGTCCAGGATTGCCAAGAAACGGATCATGACAGTCCGATACTTGCTACTTATATAATGATACCGAGAGGGAATAGTTTAATTTATCTTTGCTTCAAATCTCCATAACACGCAAATTTTGGGGAAGAACATCCTGAACCAATCAATTGTCACTGTTCTCACAAATTTACATGATTGGCTCATGCGCAATACACTGTGCGAAGCAAATGTCAATGATTTTTTAAAGGATGCTCAGCATTGGCGAGGAATTACTTAATTTATTTGAGTCGCCTCATACCACAGTGCTTAGTATTTGGGATAGGAGAACAGTAAATGTGCCGCTTCCAGACTTTACTCATGTTACACGGAATGAACATTTGAATACTCCAGTGTTCCCCCCTACCTCCCCTTGCAGGCACTCATTTCGTAGTACATGTGAAGGCGTCACTCTTGATGAGTGACTAGAAGACTAGTGGCTCAGTGCAATGATCAACTAACTCACCAACCGGACCCGCCAGCATTGGTTGGTAATCCGCAATCGACTGCTTCACCAAACAGTAGGCCGTCGATGTTGAAAAGATCCGAGGGCTGGTGGCAGCGAGGATCATTCTAGGAGTGGATATGGGGTGCAATATTAGCACAGATGCCAATGCCTTTAAAAAATTGAAAGACATCTAATTTCACTCTGTTATCCAGTTTTGGACGCTGGAGCCCACTTAACATATGTATAAGACAATCAGGCAAGCAGACTGACTGAATGAGAAAGTGGTTACGATAATGAGATCCCGCAACCATACAGCTTCAATGTTCTCCATTCAACCTGTGCAAAATTTTCCGCTTTGTAGCTATTTTCCGAACATTGCAGAATGTCATGCTCTCACTCTGGTTACAATTTTCGTTGTTGTGTCTGTTCAGTCCTTCCTGATTAGCTCCTACCACAAGTAGACGCACTTTAAGGGCCCAGTAACCACTCTAAGGTCAAGGCGAAGGTCAAAGCGTAGATCTGAGCTGAAATCACGAACATGAACACGACTTAGACGAAAGAGACGATGATTGAGTCCAAGTTGACGAAGGCGACTACTGATATTACGATCAAGACCACTGCTACCATGACTATGAGCACTCATGCGATAAAAGGACGTGGAACTGGTAACCAATCAGAGTTTGCGTCAGGCTCTCAGTCAGTCAGCCTCTCATCGATGCTGATGCCTTCTTCCATTCCATGCTCCCGTCCAACGTCCTCATCTCGACAAGCAGGTTGGTACCTCCATTTGCATTTACACACGCTGCTCCTAAGGCTGACTTTGCCTTTTGGCCCCAGTCACTCGCATTTATTCCTGTGCGCATTCATGGCTAGCATGTTTGGGATGAACAATGATTTAGCATTCCCAACCGTTAATGTGCTTGAGACTTTGTTTTCTTGTGAAAATTATGATTCCGCCCAAATGTGTGCAGTATATCGAGACTTGCCTGAGTAAGAGTTAAGTCATTATACTATGACTGTGGAGCTACTGTCATGGTCATGAGCCACGCTGTCCAGTGGAAGCACAAAGGCTGGGAACCAGGTGTTCCCGTAACAAAAAGGAAGCGATAACCAAGCATTTAGAACACAACGGAATAAGTGATTTCATCACTTGTCAACAGTAAGTTTGCTTTGTGTTTTGAGGATAGGCACAACTAATTTGAAATTATTTAAATCAGAAACTAAATATTCGAATGGATATAACGAATACAGGTCTTAGCAGAATTGTCTTCCCCTTTCATCCGTGTGCTTCGCATGAATGATCTGCAAAGAAAAACTAAATACTTGCGTTGGTATTTAAGCAGTGCACTACGGATATGCCAAATGCTGGAGAATCTAAACAAAACACTGTCCCATAAACACCAATTTCACAGAAGGTGTGGATATAGTAGTTTCGGCCGACTCACCTCAGTGGTATGGACAAAACTGAGAGTCAAACTGGCCTGACAGTGGCAAACGCAGTAAAATTGTAAGACACTGACAAGATTAGAAATTTGGCCCACATAAAGGACATGGTACGTGCGAATGTAGCCCACGAAAATGTGGTTGTGTGACCTTTTGGACAATTCCCATGTTATGTCTAAAAAGTGTGTCTGGAGGAGGCGGCTTGATTAAAATTGGATACAGATGCAAGCGGTGGTAGTGACTGTGATTGTCCACTTTGGCGCTAAACCACCTCATATTTAGTTTCGTCACAATCTTCGAGTTGTCACTGCTCTAGCTGAAGAAGAACGTCACTTCTGGGTGAACTGACAGAACTAGCCTGAGAGATATGGTGGCAATGAGAAAGGGAGTAATGCCAATTCTGACACTCGTGTGGGTGGAAGTGTTGAGGGAACGCCCCATTAGTCAAGACATATCGAACTTTGGTATAATGGATATCAGACATAGCGAGTGTGACAAGGGATTATTAGAGCAGTCTTTTAGGTGAAATTATTTCCGCAGTACATTAATGAATTCAAGCACTGTGACATTAAGAAATGCCATTCCATGGGTAAACATGATTTACTGCACAAATAAATAAAAGCACTTAGAGGTTTCGGATAATACCAGCCTTAAGAATTGTATCCATGTGTGTGTTTTCAGAATGAGACATAAACCTGCACGTCAAATCTCATCAATCGCCAAGATGAGGACATTGGACGAGAGTGTGGAGCGGAAAAACACATCAGTGTCGAGAAGAAATGGGAAAAATCATGGACCATTGAGCAGATTGAAATAGAGTGCGTACTGTCTAGTAACAGAAAGCCTGTGTTCGATCCCCTAACGTTCCTCCTTTCTAGAAGTAAGATGCAGCAATCTGAAGGAGTCTAAGATTAATAGTAGTCAAAAGCTTCTCTGATGTTCAAATAGACGTTTATGAAGAGCTTCCAAAATTGTACTATTAGGCCTCACTTCTGTGCGAAGAGATTGCATTACTTTGTCCATTATCTCCTTGGCTGCCCATGTGGTGATAATCACAGAGCATTGCCACTAAGCAATGTAGAGTTCCAAGTCTGATGTGATAGCTGTCCTCACACAATACCTTCATCACTTCGATCTTCCCACACTCAAGAGTAGGCTTGCAGCTGGATTGGTGAGTCGGGATTCACGTGCGGGTCATCCGATGAGATAGAACCTTCGGATATGCATAGCCTGTGATCCATTGACCAAAAGATCTCATCATTTACCTCTTCAAATGTAGCATTTATAAGGAGAATGGAGAGGAATTCAATAGTAGTTTCCTTGTTGCTTGATACTACGTTTCCGATGTAATTGCTTGCATGTGTTAATAAGCTGAAAATTCGGTCTGATTCTGTTTTGCACAATCAAACGCATTGGCATTCGTAAAGTAACTTGAGTAATTGTCAGCTAGTTCTGAGAGAGAGATTCAAACTTAGATGTTATCGTACAGATGTCAGCCACTAGGTGAGAAAATGTATCGTGCAGATCTCATGTGGTGCTCACAACCCGTTCTCTGTGCTTTCACTCACGCAACTTACGTTTAAGAAGCTCGTAGTTGCCATAATCCGCGTGTTACTAATACGTCTACTTTAATTTGCACATCTCAATGTTAGCTTACATCTGCCTGACTTCCACTAGATTCATTGCAGCATTGAAAGACTTCCACGATGACGCAGAGAGAACAGACTTAAGTAATCCTGCTGATTTCCATATTACGATACTTCCTATCCTGTAGCATTAGTAAAACAGCTACTAGCGAGGGCGAATCGCGACTCTACAGGAAATGCGGAAGCAAGTTACGGCTATCCTTCAATTGAACTGCGCCACAATACTAATATGCAGACTGTTGCTGTTTGGTGATAATAAAGGTAGATAATGGGTAGCTGGAAGGAAGTTTGTAGGGCTCTGAATGGGCAGCGGGCTGAGAATCGTCAAAGTGGCAACAGGGTGTCGTAATGAGTCGGATCGTTAGTTGTCATCTCTGAATTGCGGATTTATGGTATCAATTTCAATTAGCAGTTGTAACAATCCTATACGACAAACTGAATGTAGACAAGTGGTGGAATGGATTGTTCTGCGATGGTCCCAATGCTTGCTTAACGTTCTATTCGGCTTTGCTGGTGCACAGGGCTCCGTCTTTGAACTGCCGCATGGAGGCGTGGCCATCGAGCTATGCTAGCACCCACTCTCAAGCCACTCTCTAAGTTGACAATTCATATTCGCCATTGTAGTATGTCTTCTTTGGCTTTCAGGGCAGTCTCGACACAGTGCATTTCTTGAGGACTCTTACAAATTACAAAATTTATGTGACCACCTGTCAAATGAACACGTGTATGAAAGGATGGGTAAAAAGCCAAAAGCGACATCGTTCACTGTACACTGGCTACAATAAATTAATCACGGGCAGATCTTATCACCTAAAGGTGCTTTGAAAAGTAGACCCATCTACTCATCCGACGGCGTGATGTCGAAAGGCAAGCAAGGCATATCGCCGTACCACATGCCAAAGGGCCGATCTTAGTCATTCAATGCTCCAAAGACTGAAGCCTATGAACAGTCTGGTTGAGTGCTTTCATGTGCAGTGGCAAGTCCATTTAACATGGTGAGTGATGCAGGCGCTTCAATTCTCTCACCCATTGTCCTTAGCTTCCACACGGTTGCCTCCAGAGCATGCATCATCATCGCAAACCTATGCAAAACAAGGGAAATATGGCGAAAGATGGTTTGAGGAGAGCTGTATGTCCTGTGCTACCGACGAGGAGGTGAATCCACAGGAGTCCAAAGTGATCCAAGCACCACAATTTTGCCACTGCTATAGCAAATGTCAAACTATAGTAATTTCCAAAAGACATTAGTTAGACTCCTGGTGGCATCGCTATTCACATCACTAAGATTTACATTTTGAGATTACATTCGTGTCACCTATGTGACAAGAAGTGTTTACGAGATGTCATAACATGTGAGAAGGAAATGCAATCCCACAATTGCTGGGACAGTCAAATTACCGTTCCTATCAAAAAAGTAAGCTTAGATTATTCTGTTGAGCTTGAGGTTGAGTTGGTCATCACCTTATGCAGATTCTGTGAGGCATTGGTTATAAAGGCAACCACTAAGAAAACAATCCGTAATATTGAAAAATATACATGTGCTGAAAAGACAAATATATATTTGACCAGAAAAATCCACTATTTTAGCACTGCTACGTTCTAAATTGTAATAGTCTAATATAAGGTCATTATTACCGCCACAGAGAATAAACTGGGTTAGTGATGTATGACCAGGCTAATGAACCAAAGGTATGTGTGAGACCATGCTTGTAAATATATATAAACGAGTACACCAAAATCCAAAACACCACATCTCTACAATGAATTCGTTGAGGATCTTTGCTGTTGTGATCACCTGTCTCATAGTCGTTGGCTTCGGTTATCCAACACATCCGACATTTCCGTCATATCAGACAGCTGTTCGGCATTCAAGTGCAAATACTGGCTACATGTGTCGAGGTGGAATATGCTGTTACACGTATTTTAACCCATGGTGTCATGGATTCGGCAACACCCTCCATCCGCAGATGAGAGTGCAGGAGGTGTGGGGTAGTGCAGCCCATGGAAAGCATGCACACTCTAGAGCGATGACAGAATTTCTGGTGAAAGCAAGTCCCAAGGATCTGGCAACGCTCATTGAGTCAACACCAAACATTGATGAGGTGATTACCAGCCTTGATGGTGAGGCTATTACAATCCTGATCAACAAGTTGCCAAA